GTGCCAGGCTTCTGTTAGTTTAATAGTCTAGAGAGGGTACATAGTTCATATACTTAGACCTAGACTGAGGCCAGAGTAAGCACAGCACAGGTGACCGTGAGTGAGACAGGAGAGCCCGTTGATCCTGAAGGTGAAAATGCAGGCCGTATGGATTCTAACAATGGAAATCTTTCATTAACAGGTATTCCGGAGAGAAGGGGACAATATGACATCGCTGTGCGGGTACTGTCCATTTAAACCTTCTCAGTTGCCGTTAATGGAATTGAGGATATTGAACGACTTTGATGAGTTCGCAGGGGTTCTGCAAATTAACACGGATTTAAATTTCGATAACTACGCAACTCCTCAGTTTGACATTTACATAGAGGACGCAATAGAAACGTTTAGCAAAAAGCGGGGATTTCCCACCCAAGAACTGCTGAGCCGAGCTCTCGGTCACCGAACTGGTCCGTACTGGTGCATACCTGACCAATCGGACCGTCAGCGGTGACTGGGATTAGATCAGCCTTCGCAGACGATCGCCTTCCAGTAGAAAGGATTAGTCCTGTAGCTTTCGCATCTCGTCCCAAAGGCAGTCCCAAAGGCGAGTAAGATCTTCAACTTCCGAGCAGGGGGAAAAATAAACACCAAAGTGCCACTGGGTTCCCAGCAGGGCAGCCTGTCAGCCCAGTACAGTTCCAGTACAGTCTGGGAGTCGGGATCGGCCCGTACAATACGGTCACTCCTTAAATGACCGCACTGGTCTGTAAGCCGCCAGAAGTCCCAGAACCGCCGTTGGCAGACCCGGTGCCCTGACGCCCCGTGTCGTGTATCCGCAGGCAGAGGAGACCAGCCGGGAGCAGTCCGAAAACCTCAACTTCGCCTCTCAGCCCCGGCGGCCCAGGAACTGAGAAACTTCGGCCTCAGGAGACCCCCGCTAGCAGCACCTGGGGTTCAAGCCGGACCCGGTCCGGGCCTCTGCGTGTAGCGCTTTGTTGTTGTTGTTGTTGTTGTTGTTGTTGGCGTTGTGCTGAGAAAGTGTTTTAATTCCGTCCGCCTGCCCGCCAGAAGCACCGACCCCACGGCACGCGTGAAGTCACGACACACACCGCGCGCCGGCCGCACGTCTTGATCAGCTCAGGGGCGCGTTCAGCTGCATGATCGCGACGGGCACCGGTCCGGCTCGGCCCAGGCCCACTGAAAACACGGGCTTCTGCACCCGACGGAAGTGCAGTGCTGTTATCATGAAGGAGGGGGTGATCACACGCACGGCACGTGTTCGCGTAATTCTGAGAAAGTGGCCTCGCTCTTACTGGTAATGTGCAATACCAACGTGCAAACGTGATGTTCAGTCATCGCCATGTGCAAATCGCCTGGGTGATCATCACCTGATCGCGCAAATGCCACACAATACCTACATGATCTTTAAGCAGACTTGCAGTTTTATTTATTTTTTTAGCAGCGGGATCGATCGCACGGTTATAACGGTTGTGTTCAACGTCAGGCTCAAATCGCGATATTATTATTTTTTTTTTTTCTATATTTCCAGCGGGCAGTCAGTCCGAGCGCCGGACCGACGCCGAAAAGAACAGCGTGCACGAAGCAGGCTTATGAGCGCCAACAGAAGGATTGATGCACTGTCCTGTGTGGCGATGTCAAAGCTCTTTGGTTTCAGTTTAAAAAAAAAACCAACAACCATAATAAATCATTTTCCGGTCTCACGCTGCGAGTCGTGGTGTTTTCGGTTCTGAGCGCCCGCAGAGCAGACTTCATCAGAAACGCAGTGCTGGGAAAGGGCGGCTTTTCAGCAGAACAATCGCAGAAGGAGAGAACCACACAGGAAGAGGTCTCTGCGCCTCCGGCTGGTGCAGAAGAAAAAAAAAAACCTCTCGTGCCACCAATAAGCCTTTTTTTTTAAAATGTTTTATTCGCTGCATGAATCTCTCCGTACCAAAACAAAACAAAACAAAAACCAACAACAAAAAACTGTTTGCTGTCCCGTAAAAAGTGACCTGCAGCTGCTTGTCGCCATTCGTTCTCATGTTCAATCGGTTTCGCAAACCCTTCTTTGAGAACGCAGGGGGAGATCGCAACCCTCGGAGGTGAAATGAGACACCATTTGCCCGCAGAGGTCTTTGAAGAAGGTTAATAATAATTAATAATAATAATTGCTTACATTTATATAGCGCTTTTCTGGACACTCCACTCAAAGCGCTTTACAGGTAATGGGGACTCCCCTCCACCAACACCAGTGTGCAGCCCCACCTGGATGATGCGACGGCAGCCATAGTGCGCCAGAACGCTCCCCACACACCAGCTATCAGTGGGGAGGACAGCAGAGGGATGAAGCCAGTTCAGAGAGGGGGATTGTTAGGAGGCCATGATTGGGAAGGGCCAATGGGAAATTTGGCCAGGACGCCGGGGTTACACCCCTACTCTTTTCAAGAAACACCCCGGGATTGTTAATGAGCACAGAGAATCAGGACCTCGGTTTGACGTCTCATCCGAAGGACGGCGCCTGTTTACAGTCCAGTGTCCCTGTCACTATACTGGGGCATCAGGACCCACACAGACCGCAGGGTGAGAGCGCCCCCTGCTGGCCCCACTCACACCTCTCCCAGCAGCAGCCTCGGCTCTCCTCCCAGGAGTCTCCCCTCCAGGTACTGGCCAGGCTCCCCCTGCTGGGCTCCAGTGGGGCTGTGAGCTGGGTGAGAGCGCCCCCTGCTGGCCCCACTCACACCTCTCCCAGGAGTCTCCCCTCCAGGTACTGGC